TTGATCGATCGGACGACAGCTGTCTGATTCTCCCCAGTCATCCAATGCGGAATCGATTTGCCTTTGGGCGTCGTGAATGCACTTGTGGTGTGACACGGATCTATGCGTGGTCTGACGGGTTCTGTAATCTACGTCCTAACACAGCCCATTTTGATTCAGAATGTGAATTTATTCTTAATACCTAGCATTTACCTCGAAATCCTATCTCTGGATGAGGGGCATGAATCCATATCAGACCAGAACACCACAAGGGCATCAGAAATTCAAAAACGTCGTGGTTGCTTAGTCAATTGTGTGTGTATGTATGCCCATCAATAGCATTTGCATGAAAGAGCATAGATTTTCCACGGTCTGCACAACTCGTAGTCTGTCACTTGGAGAGATCTACACCCCTCTACTCACAACCACGTCCAGTAAGACAATTAAAGGACGCCAAAAAACACGATACACTACCAAGTCAGAGATAACAAATGTCTTGACAAAGTTTTGAAAATCGGTCCTTGAAACTCGCTCAGATGAACTGAATTCCATTTTACCTGATCGCCGAGGTTCGCAATTATTGTGCGAACGTCTCATCACCAACCGAGGAGAAAACATCAAGACTGACGTCAGCTCTCTTGAACCCACCTCGAAATAGCATCATTTAGCAAAATTCCATGAACTTAAGGGGAATGGATCTGACGCATTTGCTCCAGTCTGCTCTGGTACGTGTCCACCTAGTGGCCAATGCAAAGCTCCATTCGACCGGACACACGAGACCTGCTCGCATTTTATTTGTTTTCGTGTACAACGCGAGGGGAATGGATGAATGAGCGATGGAGACAGAGAGGAGAGATTACCTGCGTTACTATCCAAAACAACAGCAGCAACAACAACAGCAACAACAACAACAACAACAAGTACAACATTAAGAAAGATAACAAGGTCAACAAGAAATACAGGCAACACCCCCAATGGCACAGATTTACGAAAGAAAGGAAAAATAATTAGGTATTGACCCCGCAGACTACTAATTACACAACAGACACACTCGAACTGGGGCTAGAATTCCGCAACAGATATTCCAATGACAGACCGACCAATCAGGATATATCTTGGAGTCAGTTACATAACAAACAGATCACCGATAGACGGTAATTACAATTGCATATTTAAAACACAACAACAAAAACAACTGTGTTGCGTAACTCCATCAAACAGCAATCACTGTCGCAGTACAAACCTAACAACAATGCAATCAGCATTCGCAAATCGATACATAATCCAAAACAACCGTAATCCACACTCTTTCACATATACAGCCTAAATACAAGCCGGAATGAGGATGTGATTGAACACAATGTTGTGGTGAGTTGTGAAACTGCACACTGCAGACCAGTATCGAATGAACTTCCGAACAGGACCGTTAACAATGGTAGATATGTATTTGGACTATCCAGACAGATTAGAGCTTCCGTTCACTCTAACATATATCATAGAGACGTAATCAATTTACTCATTAATGGTCCAGTTATCATAGAAGGATGTGACAACNCCCCGTCAATGGACTCGATCAACACCATTCGGAAACCATCCGAATATCGATGAAAATGACGGTGGATTCTCGCGCACCATCCAAGCATGGTGTATGATGGTTCTCCTCGACCTCATCTATTTTGCTGGGCCAATTATAACAGAACGCGAATCCCTACAATGCCAGCTCAACAGTGGCCTGAGAAATAGCCGCGGCAAGTGTTGGGTTGCAAACTATAGAGAGATGCAAAAGGGTGCAACTGTTAGAAATAGTCGATGTCTGTTCCGTAGGATTGGGAGTTCGGGTCCGAGGAGAATGGGCGTAAATGAAGATATTAAAGAGTCAGATGGCACACTGATTCACGTTCAGCAACAATGTCTCGATCAATGCGTTGAACAGTTTCAAGACACAATTTAGCTGGCCCCATCGACAGAGACACGATCAATTGGTCTGTTAGGGATTGATCCACGATAACAAGATTATTTTAGCACTCCCAGTTTTGCCAATTGAAAAAATACATGAATGCTTTCTGGTGAGTTCATGGTCTACTTGCACTCATCCGATCGTTCCTAGATCTGGTACGGTGGTGTCCCGGTGCGAACGTTCTCAAATTATCATCTCGGCGGAGGTGTGATCGAACTCCACTACATTTACCACCACCACCACCACCAACACCACCACTGCTGCCTGACTTTTCCCAGTATGCTATTCGGAATTGTTCTGATTTACGACTTTCCCACCGCCCTGATCAGAACGCTTCCGGCTCGAAAGCGATACATCACTGTGTGCTACCTTCATAGTCGCTATGTTTTTCGCGTTTATGTCCTATGTACCAGTTGTATGTATTTTCGCTGGAAGGAAGATCACATTTTCAATCCTATATTACTGTGTCAAATTATAACTCCCCCCGCCCTGTTTGTCGAGTTCCTTGGGAAACTGCACCTTGACACGGTGTGGTGATGACTTGCGTGCCTCAATGACTGGGTGAACTACACAGGATGGCTTTTTACACCCAAAGTAAAAGGAATTGAGCAGGTTCCAGCTAAATGGTACTAGATCTTTAACTTACCAATTCACAAAAAAGGTGAAAGATCGTCTTGTGAAGACCATGGGGAGGGACTATAGTCTAAGCAACATTGTCACTAGACTCCTCGTTGGTATGATGCATTGTCAACTGTCGATTGCCGCACGTGACCGGTGCACGCGCGAGAACCAAGCTATCATCAACCCAACATTTCTATCCTCCTCGATTTGAAAACGGTGTTCGACTCAGCCGACCGTATGGGCGCTGTCGTGACATCCGCCTGTCTGTGAAGGATCAAGTGCATACAGCAGCTGTCCAGCTTGTTCCCCTGTATACCACTGAGGCATGACCGTTACGGGATAAGGCCAAAGGCGGTTGGTGTTCGGACAAAGCTACACACGCCGCATTTCTCGTGTCTGATGAGACCTCAGACCAGCAACCAGCAAGTTGAAGGAATAGTATGAAGATATCACCATTGCTCACCTCTATCTATCTCAAAGACCGATGTATATACGTTGCATGTCCGCAAATAGAATTTTTCGGCGGCCGGAAAAAGGCAAAACTTGTCAGATTAAAATCTCTTTGAACGTGCCATTCACGGTAGACCTGAAAACTAAGGACCTTGGAGATCAGTCGAATCCATCGTTAGAAACAATAAGTAATGTTGCAATTTTGCATGTGTTTGTGCTCATGCATGGCGTTGCGGCTGTGAGTCCACGGGTTATCAACGTTCGACGATAACAGTATGTCTAAATTGGCAGCTAACGTGTTTTGTTAGGTGGTCGCTGCATTCGGGTCGGTCAGTTTCATCAAATCGAATCTTCTCGGATGACATTGCTGTTTTCCACTAAAGTGCAGAGAGAGGGAGAGTTTCACGCACACGAGTGCATGAGCAGAGCTGTGACATGTGCTTCAGATGGATTTGCAGTACGTTATGCAGTTTCTCCATCGATAGCTTATGGTAACATGATCTTTTTGAGTCCAGAGCTGATCAGACGATGGTTGTCAGGCGGCACGTTGGCACCATGGTCGAAGGGTTACAGGAAGTGGTCGCCGTTGTCTGTTTTCCTAACATCGAGGCTATGCTGGCTCCCCATTGAGGTTTCGCTAGCGTCGAACCTATCTAATTGAGCGTTCAGGTCGCCGACTAGTATCACAATGTCAATATGTCGCTTACTATTGAGGAGGTTGATGAACTGATGGTAGAACTCATCTTTTTTGTGCCAGAACTGCAGTCTGTGGGCGCATAAGCCGCGATGATGAACAGACAGAGTTTTCTAGTCCCATTATGAGATGATCTTATCGATACTACTAGACGGATAGCACAGAGTCGACTATTGATTGGAATCTAGTCGAGTAACGCTGCTTCAGCATGTGCATTCACTTCTATCCCCACGCTAGTCTGACCAGCGGCCTCTGCGAACGGATCTCCGGAGAGTCGGAAGGTGAACGAGCTTGTAGAATCTGGAGATGGTGGAACTGGTTGCAGTACGGTGCTCGAATCCTATTGGCGTATCTCAATAAGGCAGCAAATGTCCACGGCAAGCGCTTCCCATGTACAAGCGAGTGTTGCCTGAACCCTGAGCGTTCGAAAGTTTAAAGTCGCTAACTTCAGCTGCGAGTGGGAGTCTGTTTCTGTCGCATGTGCAAAAGACTATGGATTCCTCCGTTGTCTTGGGCAACACATTGTTGGGGACTCAAAATGATGGGTGGAAAATCGAGAATAGGAAAGTTCAACAATTGTGGAAGGCAAAGAATGTGATCTGTTGGTGCAGTGAAGTGGAAACCTGTGGAGCCGACCATCAACACCTCGGTCAAAGAGCGCATAGTTTTTGAGAGCTAAATTCGAAAATCTGTATAACGTGTGTTCAAAGGTTGTGTGGGCATGTTACTTTCCGGTTGCCCTGACCGAAGAAGGAGGATAACCTCGGGGTCACCAGCCGAAGCCTTTGGTTAGAAAGCAAGAGCTGTAAGACAGCAGGACGGATGTTGCGTCTCGCCAAACTATCACAGAACCTGATCTCACGATGCCTATCTCAAAGATTCCAGTAAAAAGATAGTTGGAAACACCACGAGCCTTCATTAGTATCGCCAGTCAAAATTTAGTCTAGCAAAGAAGAAAACGTGTGGTATTTATGGGGTTGCTCACTGTCTAGACATTTGTCCGGAATGGGGGTTACGCTGTTGGTGATGGAGAATTTGCCATTAATCAGGGCGCCGTGCCCTGTCCCTTATCCTGACACCAACGTATCCAATATCATCGAGAAAACGCCGACACGTTCACACGGTGGTGACCGATCCCAATCCATTCCAAATACAAACGGCGAGGATTCCTCGGGGAAGATTAGGCTTCCCTTGACAACGGAGCTCAGAGTTCGTAGTCCATTGGGGGCCGGTGTCCAGTTCATCGAATCATACGCCCTTCGGACGGGGTCAAACGTTCAGGGTGCCCAATACACCTCTATGCCCAATCGAGCCGGTGACAAACATTACGACCCGAAAGGTGTGAGTAGGGTTCGTACGCCTCCTCTTGGTTGGTTTTGAATTTTAGTCATCTCGCCTAAGCGAACGGCCTGTGGTTCACCGACCTGGTTGTAGCCCCAGAGTTCGGCTGTTCTTCCTTCCTTCCTCTCACTTTGGTGGGTAAACTTCGCCGCCACGAGAAGGTAGTGAGTAGGGCTTTTTCAACAGAGGCTATTTGGGAAGCTTGGTCATATAGGAGAATTTTGATAAGGCGCGAGGGTAGGGTAACCAACCACAACCCAAGACATCCATCGCGACCTTTATGCATACATAATCATTTTCCGTGCCGATCGGCAATCGTATCGCTAAATCTCCACGCTTGTATCAAGAAGGTGCGAATACACAGAAGCACTCACTTATTATTTCACTTTTTAATCGAGGCTTGTTCCACTTTGTGGCTTTGTCCGACCGGCAAGCCTTTGCCAAAGTTCATGACCTGGGCTGCTTCTGACAGGCAGTCTCTCTAGACAGTGGTGGCAGGCGGTGGTGGCCCGGTGGTATGGTTACCAAATTATCACCCCGGAGGCCGAGTGTTCGAATCCCACCAACACCGCCTGACTTTCCCCATTTGTGTGTTGTATGGCAGCCCTCTGATTGGCCGCTTCCCCCTTCTTGAAAATTGTATCTTCGTATATTCACTAAAGGGAAGTAAAAATGAAAAGAAAAGGTCAAATGGTTAAGGTCAACAAGATAACGATCTGGAGTTCGAATCCCGCCATCTTTCCCGTTTTTGTATTTCTCCAGGCAGCTTTTGCATGGACACGGGCTCCATCCGGAAAGTTCAATACGCGGTTGCAGATGCAATAAAATCTACAATGCACTGAGTCGTTTACCAGTATGGTCAAACACATTCTGTAAAGTTAGAAAGCTTTCATATTTCTCACTCTGTTTGAGATTACTTTCTGTTCCCCACAAGCTGATTGTTAGATTTGTGAATGCATGCGTGCTACTCCACTGGTTGTATTGCTCTCCAGTAATTTTTCCCGGTATGTTGAAGAAAGACTTTTATTTACTGGCAAGATCTCTGAAACACATCTCTCCGGAAAGTTCAATACGCGGTTGCAGATGCAATAAAATCTACAATGCACTGAGTCGTTTACCAGTATGGTCAAACACATTCTGTAAAGTTAGAAAGCTTTCATATTTCTCACTCTGTTTGAGATTACTTTCTGTTCCCCACAAGCTGATTGTTAGATTTGTGAATGCATGCGTGCTACTCCACTGGTTGTATTGCTCTCCAGTAATTTTTCCCGGTATGTTGAAGAAAGACTTTTATTTACTGGCAAGATCTCTGAAACACATCTCTAAATGTAGTGGCATTGACAAGGATAAACTGGCCGATTCTATCATAAACAGACACCTAAAAGCGTGTGAAAATTTCACTGCCAAAAGACTCTCAGACACTTAACACCCACTAGATAATGAATTTTCAAAGCTGTATCTACATCATTCACACGCTCAAGATTTAAACTTTTATTTTCACGTACCTGTGCTTATCGCAATTCTGTTCTGCCATATCTAGCACGTCTACTTATAGACACGGACACAATTTCCACAGAATTGCGCAACCTCTTGCTTCATTGACAAACACCTCATTGCTTTCAGTTTCATTATGCAATGATTTTGTAAATTTAAATCCACAAATATGGTGTAATTGCTGAAAATACACCCATCCGGGTGCATAAAGCTACTACTGACTTGACTTGACTTGAAGGTATAGGGTTTTGAAGCGAGAATCCCCTTTTCACTTAGCCGCGTTCAACGTTCATTCACTCTATCAGATCGATCAACAAACTACCTTAGCTAAAACCTTTGAAACTGTCAATTTAGTAGCATATTTTCTCTCCGAAAAACTGTGTTTTTCTGATCTGACCTCATCCGTACGCTTCACCGTTCGTGTGTCAGGCGACTTGGGCATCCGAAGCTCGTGGTGTTGCTGGTGTTGGGATTGCGCTTAGTACCAAGACTGGATTTCAGTCATTAGCCGAATGCTCGCTGTACATCTCGCGGTCTAGCATGGGCCAACTGCTACCGACCGAAGCGTCGATGCTTATTCGTCGTATCGATGTATGCATCGACCGATTACAATACACTTGAAAACAGGGATGAATTCTACAATGACCTTTGTCATGTACTCCAAAGTGACTTCTATTCTAAAATACGATGTCTGGGGGATCAGAAAGGTGCTTAGGCGGTCCACATGAAATCCAGTGAGCCGGACGGACAACATACGACAATGCATCATATGAAAACCACAAATCTCTTCACAGCGATGGACTCAAATAGACCATATCGCCACTATCTACAGCTGGAGAGGATCCAATCAAGACTGTTGCTTTCATTGTCCAACACCGGTGGATACGGACCACACTTTGTAACGAGTTAAATTCGTCTTAGACTTAATGAAAACCGCAATTAGGCCACCAGCAACGAATACGCACCAAACAATGTTAGTGACAATTGCAAATCGGCTTTCGAAGTGGTGCTCTCTGATTTCCCCTCATTTCAACTCCTAGCTGCGGAACTTAATGCGCATCGGATTCAAATCAAGGATGCAATGGAAATATCGATAAAACAACAAATGGTTCTGGCGCACGATCAAAGCCTAACAGATTTATCTCGTCAACCTTGATTGCTCTCCTGGACACCAGTGGAAGCCTTACTCCTGATACCATGAGATAGCTCGCAAATTGTTTTAATGCCACCTCAGCAACGGTTTGAAGAATGATCGCGAGAATTGGTGCGTGGGAATGTGTAGAGAGAGTCTAGTGGTAAGAGTCGCGACTGTTTCATGCCCGATTAGAAGTACAGGCCCCAGGAAAGTAGGTGCAAGTGTAACGACCTTGGCAACTTGCCATTCCTTTTGAGTGTGAGTCGTATTCATGTCTCACTGGACGTTTTGGTTCATGGTGTCTGCATTTTCTTCTCTTTTAGATTGTCAGTTCGCCCTCTCCACGGAGAACCTCCCGTCTGCCGTCGGTTCCGGCACACTTGCGGTCGTCTGGTGTATCCGTTCACGGGGGACATCCTGCTGCACACACAAACCAAGCATCTCACATAAGTGAGGTAATTAGGGATCCAATGTTACACTGATTCACAGTCAGCAGCGTCATCTTGAACGATGAGCTGAATGGTTCAAGGTTTTGATTAACCGGCCCCCATCGACATTAGACTTATCAGCCCTTATCTCGAGTAGACAAACATTCCCAGTTGATGCCAGTAATTCAGAAGAATCGTAGGTTTCCCGAGAAATACATTATCTCAAAAGTTATAAGGTACCTGACCAGGATGGGCTGCCTCTATATGCTTTTAAGACTAGATTCAGTGCTGACTTAGAGGTTAACGAACTGAATGATTTGATTCGATTATCCTACCGCTGTACAAGAAAGGTGAAAGATCCACTAGTGAAAACTCAGGGGATAAAGATTAACTAACTTCTCTCTGGCATCACACTCCGTCGATTGTCTACCGCTCATGAAGGGTGCACGAGTGAGAACTAGGCAGGTTTTAGACCTGGCTGCCAAATTCTGGAGCACAAACACTTTTCATCGACCCACCGTTTCTGTCTTTCTCCATTTGAAAGCGGCTTTCGACTCAGTCAATCGCTCTAAACTCTCCTTGAGAAGTCATTTCAATTTTGCAATCCCCTTAAACTAATAAGTCAAAGTCAAAGTCAAAGTTTTATTACGGATGATTTAAGAAAGTTAAAGCTTATCACGCCTCATAGGATTTTTACAGAATATTTTCAATAACTCCACAAAGAGAAAATAATAATAATAATAACACTCAGAATGTCAAAATTTTTAGTGTTCCAATGCTTTATCAAGTTGCAATTTAAATAATTCAACTGTGGGAGTACACATTACATCAGATGGAAGAGAATTCCATACGCCGCACACTCTGACTGCAAACGAGTGATGCCGGCAATCAAGGTGGATGTTCTGGGTATTCAACTTTGGTGGATATTCCCTGAGGAGAATATTTTGAGATAAAGTGAGCATAGAACAGTAAGGGTGGTTGGCTTGATGCAGTATGTGATATGCCAAGATTAGGTCCCTCCGAAGTTGGCCGTATTGAGATGATTAGAGTCCCAATATTTTTAGTCTTTCGCAGTATGTCTTACCATACAGACGTTTTACCAATTTTTTGTTGCCGGGCTTTGCGGACGTTCTTGTCACGATTCAATCATGGATTCCATACTTGAACGGCGTATTCCGTGTGTGGCCGAACGAACGCTGATAGAAAGCGCGGGAGCAGTACTTTTTCGAACTGCCCGAAAACACGTCTGAGTAGTCCAACTTGCTTGAGAGCCATGGATGATGCTCTGGCACAGTGTGTGTGGAACATTCTACGTCCTCCTGTACCATAACTCCCCAATCCCTTTCATGAGTGACATGCGGTAGTATTTGGTTCCCCAGAATATAGGAGAAACGAGTCTTTTGCCACATGGAGATAACTCTGCATTGGGGAACGTTGAACCCGATGTCATTGGCGATTGGCTATCCATGAGCTGCATCGATCGTTTGTTGGAGTGCTATATGATCCTCAGGATGTGTTACAGCACAGCTTCTGATTGGTTAGCACAATCGGCCTTTTTTGTAGTCCATATGCTGTGACACATACGCGCTTTGCTGACGTCACCTGGGACGTCTGATTGATCACAGTTGGTGGAAAACTGTAACGTGTCGCTCCGTGGTATGCGTCGTCTCGTCGGCTGGAATCACCACAGTTGCCCAAACTTCTGTCGAAAAACAAACACGTGAAGTCGCTGCACAGAAGGACACAAAAGAATGTGAATACAGAATTGGATCGATATTAATTATTTCAAGCAATTCATCCATTGCTCGGTTGCCACGTTTGTGCTTATCAGTGTGAACGTAGATCAAATAGTAAAGCGATTCAGGGAAGAGGTGATAGCCAAAACCGTGACGCAGAGCAATCTATTCGTTGGGAGGTAAACCGGGAAGGATGAAGTGTGAATGATCTGTAATGGTTGGAAAGATTCACATATATAAATGTGTAGAGGGACAACAAAGAATCAGTCAAACTACAATTAGGGTGATAGAATGAAAATGTTTTGCGTCACGATTAGAGTAGCGGATAAGAACGGGGAATCAGATTGAAATGGGAATTCGGCGTGTATATGGCAAATGAAGCGTGAACTGCAAAGCAGGGAAGCACAACTGGACAGCTGTTTCGACCTGGTTGGGTCTCATCAGCAGTGCGAATCCATCGACCCAATAGGGGATCGATGGGTCGATGGATTCTACCGAACCAAATACATTGTATTTCACGCTAAAAAATATTCCTTTGCCCATGAAAGTGAGCGGATTGAACTAACAAAAAGGTCTTATTTGTTGCGAACAGAGACAAACAATCAGGGAATAATGAACGACTAAATTGATGCAGAAATTCGGTGCTGAAGTGAAAGATAGAAGAGACTGTTGCGTTAAAACTCCCAGGGGGGGGAGGTCAAGTGGAAACGGGAAATAGGACGACTAAGGATAACACATTCGATCAGTTTTAGCGAAGTGATTGCAATGGTACGAAAACCTTCATACAAAATATGCAAAGACGGACCTCCTAGGGCTAGTCACAACAGCGACAGGTTTCTAGGAATCAGAGATGAAAAAGACACGGATACAGTCATTCGTTGACCAGAGCTGTCATCACCTCAGTTACCGGACCATGACCATGCTTGAAGATTGGCGGGGTTCGATGGGGGGAGGGGGGATTGACCATCAGGATCAAATGTAGATCTTCAATTGGGGCTTTCGGTGGAGCTCGACCGTTTCTTCTGTGAAAAAAGGTGAATTCTGGGGATAGCACGATCGAAAGAGGAAGAGGTAAGTAGATAAATGTCATGTTCGACGCACTATGTTCAACTCAGTCAAACTTGGCAATTCCCGTGGTCCACAAATGAATAAAACTTGTTACAAACTTGTTACCATTGCAGTCCCATAGTTGTCCGGTAAATGATTCATTGAGCCATTTGACTCCAACCGAACCGCGTGAGATATAAATATTAAATCCATTCGATCTTTTCCAAGACATCGAAAGACTGGATGTAATCCATTGGAGGAGAAACAGAGTCTAATGAGGACAATAGAGGTCAAAATGCCATTAACCGTGTCCGTCAAAACATTCTCACAGATGACAGAGAGGAGACAAATGAAAACAAGGAACAATCTGAGAAGAGGAACCTGCCTGGATGAAAGATTACACTGGATGGAGTACATTCTGCTTCGAGTCCTCAGGGAATATCCACCAAAGTTGAATACCCAGAACATCCACCTTGATTGCCGGCATCACTCGTTTGCAGTCAGAGTGTGCGGCGTATGGAATTCTCTTCCATCTGATGTAATGTGTA